CCATTCCCCTAGTGTGCCTTCGTACTCCACGACTTATTCAATGAACCCTAAAATCCTGAAAATCCCTAAAATCGACCTCCAAATTTTTGTTTTTGTTCTAAAATTCGTTCATTTGTTTTATGCAATCAATAATCTCACGCAAATATTGTTTGAATAATTATAAAAAAAGCTGCAAAATGAGGAAAAAAATTAAAAAAACGTGGATTGGAACTGACATTATTTGATTCAAACTCTAAATGGAGCCTCAAATCAGCACTTTAGAAATGTAGATATATCTTTGATGATCAAAAGCCTCTATATTGTATTGAAAAAAAAAGGAAAAACAACGCCAAAAATCGTTAGAATGGCGGATTTTTGGTTGAAAAATGAAGAACACACAAAAACGCCAAAAAAAATGAATTAATCTTCCATTTTTTGATTCAATCATTTTGATTTATAGAACATTTACAATGTATATGGTTAATTATTGACCAAAAAAACAAAAAACTCCAAAAAAGGAGTAAAAAAAGCCTGCATAAGGGGATCACGGGCTCTGCTTAATATAACCGCCTCTCGCCTCTGTAAAATATAACGGTTGTTATATACAAATATCGTTATATCGGGTATATATAACGGTTAACCAGACCGCTTTTGAAAAATCGATCGGTTTTTTTGGACCCGATTTTTTTTGGAGAGTATTATCTCATGATGTGTACCATAAAACCGGACCTAACCGGAATCGCCACCCCACCGATAGCGAGCTAACCGGCCGGTTCCGGTTCGAACCGGCCGATATTGCGAACACTGATGCTATAACACCATTTACTTTTAGTACAATGAATTCACAATAACCTTTAGCTATTTGATATGAAATATGTCATTTACATAGTTTGAGAAATTTTATTTTGGAATACATAGCCAGTCAATAAAAAACTTGCAACCATTTGATTTTGCATCTAACAATTCATTTGCGACCTTCTTAAACTAAAAGTAAATGGGGAATGATTTCATGCAACGGTTGTATAGTAGTATAATGCAACCACACCTCTAGAAAACCATGTTTTTGGCATTTGTATGACCCTAAATTTTGCGTGCACATTATTTTTGTCCTCATAATCAATCCTATAGAAAAAAAAAAGTCAATTTACACCCTAGATATGGTCAAAATTAGTACCATCCAACAATGAATATTGACCGTCCACTTGGTGAATTTCAAGATCTAGGCCTTAACGAATTCTAAATCACTTCTTTATTTTTTAGCATAGCTAATCTAATGATAATAACGCCAGACGAAAATTTTGGGAATAAAAAAATCCTTTTGAGGTCTAACCATCTCATTAAAATGGACAGCTTATATTAATTGAGCTAGAAAAAGACTTTTTAGAGTGTTTATTTTCAAAATATTCTTTTTTGTAATTGTTCTTACGAATGAAAAGAGTGTACATTTAAAAATTCGTGTCAAACAAAGGTCTCTAACATGGTTTTTGATGATGATTGCATTATACCACTATACAACCGTTGCATGAAATCATTTCCCCCAATGGTTTCATGCAAGGTGGACGCATTAGCTACGAGATTAAGTGTTGAATTTTAATAAACCTAATGAGGGTCTTTGACTCATTTCAAGATTAGATATAAAATCTGGAAAAACTGGTGGTAGTATAAGGAATTGCATGACCAAAGGGAATTTGAATTTAAATACCGTCATTTTTTTTAATATTTTTAAGTGTGTATAGATATGCACGATTTGTCTTATTTATTGAGCTTTAAGTTTTAATATTTAGAGGTGGACATAAAAGTTTTTGACACCAAAACTACATTTTCAACAAGGTTTTTAAGTGCCGATTCTTGAAGGTGACACCTTATACCAATACATTTCTATCCATGTATCTAACCCATTATTGAATTATCTTTTCGAAAAGTGTATAAAAAAAACAGGATTCTCTATCTCATCTATTTATAAAATTTTAAATTTCTTAATTTAAGCTGGTACTAATAAATTTTAAAATAATTAATATACGCAATTTAAAAATCAAAGAGTTTGAATATGTTATAAGCATGGGAATTTGAAAAGATAGGAGGAAAATCTAGCTGTTGTACCGTGACATAAACTAATTAAAAATAAATAAAAAATTTCATTACTAAAAAATGAAAATATATGAAAATGGATGTCTTTCCTAAATTCAAAATCTCTTATTTTAAATGAACATCAATAGTTTGTCTACAAATAACATTTATAATTTAATCTAAAATTTTCATATTATTATGATGGAATATTTTTCAAAAACTGTTGAAAAAGACATGATTTGGTAAAAAATAAATCATCATCATCATTGTCAAAGCCTTTTTTTAACTAATTGGAGTCAGCTACGGATCCTGGTCCGCCATTTCACTCTACTAAGGGCTATACCTTTAATAAGGCTATAAGTATTTTTTTACTACTTCCAACCATACCCTTTTGGGTCTACCTTTTTTTTTTTTGAGTTCTACTTGGACTATCTTCATACCTCATAACAAGTGATATACTAAGTATGTGCCAGCCCACTTAAGTCTACTCTTTCTCATATTATCGTCTTCTATTTGGTGTTACACCTAATTTTTTCAAATATATTAATTTATAGTTTTGTCTCTTCTTGTCTTGCCACTCATCCATTTCAACATCCTCTTCTTCGCTCGACTCATTTGTGGGTATATTGTAAATTGATTAAAAATTAAAAAAAATTACAATAGAAACGACAACACAAAGATAAATTTGTCTTATTATTAGCTAATTATTTGTTGGAAATTTTATCAAAATATACCTTATTTTTCAATTATTTAATATTTACTCTTTATTCTAATTAAAAAATATTGCGTATATTGTTTGACATTTTAAAATTAAATGAAAACAAATGATTAAAATATTAAAGAGCTTATTACTTTTAAAAAGGTTTTAAAAATCGTCGAACTGAATCGAAACCGACCAATTCATATTAAGAAGGGGCTGGCCTGGTTTTGCTTAATTATTGCGAACCAACTAGTTGGTCAGTTGTGTCATAGAATCGGGTTCAATTTATTTTTCAATATTTTTAAATTTTTTTGTTTATTATTTTTAAATTTTTTATTCGATAGTTCAATATGCCAGTTCGCCAATATGGACCGCCGATCCGGTTTTAAACCTTGTTTTTTAACGAATTTCTTGTTTCTTCCCTTTTCTGCATATCATCGATTTATTTTTGCTCATCTAAAATAGGTTAACCTAACTTCGAGCACAGGATCTTAAACTAATAAAATCATTTTCAAAATATTAGGGTTTCCATTGTGCACAAGAACGTCTGTTCTTTCTGCTTCTACTAAGCAAGAAGAAGAAAATGGCGAAGAAGAAGAGTAAGCAGAACCCGGTGAACGCTTCACATCAGCTAGAAGCAGAGATGAGAACAACAGAGAACACAGTCCCCGAAGAAGAGAGAGAAGAAGAAGAAGAAAAAATTGCAGAGGAAGAAGAGAGAGAAGTAATGAAGAAGAAGAAGAGAGAGAAGAATAGTGAGAAGAAGAAGAGTAAGAAGAATTTTGGTTCACTACAAGAAGAAGAGGTGAGCAGCATAGAGAAGAAAAAAAGGAAAAGGCAAGAGCCCAAATTAGAAGAGAGAGCTGATGGCTATGAAGAAGAAGAAGAGAGAGAGGAAGAAGCGGGGAAATCTGAGGACGGGGTTGAAAGAGAAGGAGCAGTGGATTGTAGTGAGAGAGAGGAGAGCAGTGGCATGAAAAAGCGGAAGTTGGTGGTCGAGAAGTCCTTGGGAAGTGTGTCGGGGATCATGAGCTCTGTATCTTTTGAAACCTTAGGCCTCTCGGAGCCCACCATGAAGGCTATTCGAGAAATGGGGTTCAGCGACATGACTCAGGTAAGCAGTTGTCTCTCTCTCTCTCTCTATCCCTCTCTTGAACTGGCAAATTTTAACTATCTATTCATCGACTGGCAAACTATATGTAGTTGTATATTGCTGGTCATTTGAAGTGAGTTTCATTTGATTGCATTCCTTGGTGTTCTGGTTTGAAAGACAGAAAAAATTGGCTTGTAATCAGGACTTATCTGTTATATGATGAAGATGCCTATTGTGAATATTTCATAGATTTTTCTACCAAGCTTCTTATTTCTGACATTAGGGTGCATTTTTTTTGTCCTAATATATGGTTATCAACTCTCACCAATAGCCAACTTCCTCAATCGATCACAATTCACCAGAAAGATTTTTTTTTTGTGAAGTTGATGTTACCGATCCGTAATATTCTCTCTCTCTCTCTCTCTCTCTCCTTTTTTTTTAAATTATAAATAGAAAGCTTGATATGCTTGCTTAAAGGCATTGAACTTAAGCTATGACCTTGAAGTTAAGCTCAATTCTGAGCGTTTGTATTTATTCCAAGCAAATACATGATACCTAAGTTGGTTTCAAAGAGATCCTTATTCAGTGGAGCAAGGTTTCAAAACTCGGCTTGGGCTCAAGACTTGGCCCTTGCTCTAGCTGAGTAACTTGGACTCGCCCGAGTTCAGCACCAGTCCACAAAGGTCTTGGGCAAAAAGAAAAAAAGGGAAAAAATAAAAAATACAGAAATGTAATTAAATGAAAAAAACTTAATCAATAACTCAGATAAATTTGGATAACAAATGAGGGACAAATCTATACATTGGCAGATTGGATTGGGTTTAACAAAGAAGCTGCGTTTACCCCCAAAAACCGAGAATTTTCAGGCCAGTCGTCTCAAATTCTAGGCTTCGAATCTAACAAATTAATATGGGGATCTTGTAGAGGGTTGAATCACGTTCAACTATAACCAAATTTCAAAGGATTTAGATCAAAACTGACGGAGAAATCGAAGCATTCATGGATTGGGTAGGGCTTAACCAAAGGACTGTGTTTGTTTCCCAAAAACTGAGAATTTTTGGGCCCAATATCTCATTTTATTGGCTTTGATCCAAGAAATTAGTATAGGGATCTTGTAGAGGGTAGAATCACATTCAACTAGAGCCAAATTTCAACAAATTTGGATAAAAAAATGGAGGAGAAATCTAAGCATTGGTGGATTGGGGTAGGGTTTGACAAAAAAAAAATTTGCTTTTACCCAAAGGGGTGTGGGGGGAGCTCTCACTGCATTGATCAAAATTAATCAAATTCGATCGATTTTGATGAACAATAGAGCTTAATATGGCCCAAACAATAATTTTTTTGATCAATTATTGATTGAAATGGCCAGAAATTACAGCATAAGGCTGTAAAGTCAGCCATGCAAAACATGTTACCCACCTAGCTAGAATATACCCCTAAACTGTGCTCAGTACTCTACCGAGACCGAGTAACATGGCCGAGTCCTAGCCGACAAGGCTGAGTCTTAGAACAATTTAGTAGAGTGAAACTGGTGTTTCAGGAAATCAATTATATTCATTATCGAAAAAGTGTGTCCTAGATGAATTATTAATAACAATAGCAATGTAGTTTATAGTGTGGTTTGTTAGACTTGCTTTTATGGTGTCCCCGTTCGCTATGTTATTCTACACAGCTTTTTGATTTTTGGATATCAAGTTTGACTGAACTTGTGCAGATCCAAGCTGAAGCTCTTCCAGAGCTTCAGAAAGGTACTGATGTGGTTGGAGCAGCAAGAACAGGTTCTGGTAAGACCCTTGCATTCTTGGTGCCAGCTGTTGAAATGTTGTACCATACTCATTTCAATCCTCGAAACGGAACTGGTGTTGTTGTCATTTGTCCAACGAGAGAGCTTGCCATACAGGTGAATTGCTAGCCATTTGTTTGCATTTATTTTTAATTAGACAAAGATAACATGTTCATTCACTGGCAGTTGCTTGATTCTTCAGGGCATAAAATCAAGTGTTATGAAATTCTTTTGTGTTTTTTTGTGGTTGCTATTCTAGTTTCTTTGTTCCAATTCTCCCAGTTCTTGTCTGCATCGTGAACAACTTGCAACCAAAGAAAGCTAGGTTCAACTTCTAAAGGCCTCGTCACACCCTTCCTAGAACCGACTTTGCTCTCCATTCCCCAAAATCATATTTAACTGCCTTATTTCATTAATTCTTTTACTATCATTGTGGATGGATGCTTTAGATTGTCTTATTGATAGGCGTGTAGTTGATTAGTTTGTTTTCTAGGCTTGAAATGGACTTCATGCTTAGAGTTAGACAAACACCGGCTCGTGGATGGGTCTCAATGTTTACATTAGTTCGATAGATTTGATACGTTGTGTTTATGCTCAACTTTATCTATCATGCTTCATTTGGTGATGTGGTTGTACCCTATCTTGGTTGCGTAATTTGAATGATATTTTGGCCAAGGTTCGTCTTTATCACTCGGGTTTCCATCTCTTGTACTTTTACGTTTTCTTTTAAAGATCAAGGTGTATATTGATCATCTAATCATTTAGCTTGAGTTTATGGATAAATCTCTAGTTTCTTTCTAGGGCCTGGTCTTATTTGGTATTCTATCTATGATCTTGGAGACAACAACTTTCCCAATGAAGTCACACTGGAGTAAGTGGTTGATTGGGCTTTTATGATGTATGACAATGGCATTATATTGGGTCAAGGCAGTAGTAGCTGGGTTTTCATAGCACATATCAAGTTCCATTCCAATGTAACCTTGTCGAAAAAAATAAAATAAAATTTGTGGACTGTCTGGGCACGTTCACGAATAGGGAAAATGTTTTCCCCATATGAAGTCTTTTCTCAGGAAATTGATTTTTTTGGAAAATAATTTCCCAGGAAAACATTGTCCTTGTTTAGTAACCTGTCTGAAATTCCCTGGGAAATCTATTTCTTTGATCAAATTTGGGAACTTGTTTTTCATGGAGTGTGGAAAGTACTTTCTTATTCGTTGAAATAGTTCATTTGATTAGATATTGATATTGGAGATCTTTTGAAAACACACCCATCCATAGTAGAAGTAACTGAATGGATAGTTTAGATTATAAGTTCTTGATTTATTATTAATATAAATAACTGCTACTTCTATAAAAAAAAGTATAAGTGGTTTCTTTTGAATAAAGTTAATGAAAGTATTTTTTAATAATATTTAAATATTATTAGTTGTTGTGATTAATAAATTACTTCCATTAAATCAGGTTATTAGTAGGACTATTCCTCTCATTCACATTTTCTCTCTCTCACCCTGTATCTCTCTCTCTCTCTCGCCGGATGAGAATTTACATTGGATTGAGCATTTACCTCATCAATAGCTTGATCTAAAACATGCACACTCTCCCTCACTCAAATATCAATATCTAAGTCAAGAACTTATGGAAAGTAGCTTCTTTTAGCTGTTCATTAAAATATTTCATTTGATTAGGTATTGATTTTTGACCAATAAGGAGATCATTTGAAAATTACCCACCCATATCAGGAGATTAGGGATGGAGATGGGCTGGTTGTCTCAGCCCAGCGTGGTCCTAAAAAGCTAGGGGCTAGGCTACAAAATGTGGACGCAGGGTTGGATCAGGGCAGGACCACACCCAGCCCTTTTTTCCTCGTATTGTTTCTCTTTTGTTTGCTTCTACTATATTGTGCCTACCCTAAAGGGTCTATTACCCTGGCTGGCCCAGCCCAAGCCCAACCCTAAGCAGGATTAACAAAATGAATGGTTCAAATTATAGTTCTAGATTTATTATTAACACCAGTAGTTATTACTTCTCTCAAAGAAAAATTAAGTAGTTATTATTATTAGTAAATTATTTCCGTGAAATCAGGTAGTATTACTTTGCTTCTCACTCTCTTTCTTTCTTTCTCTTTCACCTGTATCTCTCTCTCTCTCTCACTTGCCTAATGAGAACTTACATTGGATTGAGCATTCACCTAATCAATAACTTGAACTAAAACTCTCTCTTTCTTTCTCTCAAAGCATGGAGAGAGCGCCTAATGAGAACTTGCATTGAATTGAGCATTTACCTAATCAATAACATGAACTAAAACTCTCTTTCTTTCTCTTAAAGCATGGAGAGAGCCACCTTGAAAGAATCATCACTCTCAAAAGTGAATTGGGGGATAACTTCTATACCCAATTAGCAAATACCAAGTATCTAAGCTATCACAATCACCTGAGAGTGTGCAAACTTGGAGTTCGGCCAATTACAAGTGGAAATTTATGGGTGTCATATGACGTTAAACTGGATTCAGTGTCTGGGTTTGATAAATGGCAGCAAATCTAGGAAAATGGGTGCATCTGGAATTTCAAAAATAAACCATCCGCAACCACATGAAAGCTGACCCATAAAAGAACCAATGTTGGAACCATGGTCCTCCTTGCCCAACCCATTGTCTATAAATGAGGCGCCAATGGGATTTATAGTTGTATGGATAATCATTCTTCCTATCATGTGCATCACTCTTTAGCATTGGATTAAAGCAACGAGCCCCAGTTAAACTTCCTCCTCTGGCAAAAATGGCCCAGGATGAAAACTAGCAGTTTGGTTCTCCACCAAATCTCTATAATCCAATGGAGCACCAACTCCATCAAGAAAATAATAACCAGATTTCTATTTGGGTTTGAAGAAATAGGTGCATTGCAGGCAGGGAAATCCCAGGAACTGATTGAATTGGGTATGAAATGTGTAAACCATATACTAGTGAAGCTTGATATCCAGCCATTGAAAGCTCACAATAGTTATCGAAATCCATGTTTTCAGGGAAATTTGAGTCTTCAACCCCGCATATTGTCTGGTACAGAAGCCACACCTTCAGTTTTTTGTGGCCTAGGAACAAATGGGTTATCCATTTTCCTCACTCTGAGCTTCTTTTTCAACCCACCTAGTCCACAGTATACTAATTCCTTGGCCTACTTCTTCTATCCTGCAAAATCAAGCATTCCTTATTCAGTCAAAGGAGTCAACTACACAATTTAGCATCCAGAAGGGAATCGCATGATCCATACACACGGCTCTGGAATCTGTAAATATATATTTTTTGAACATGTTTAGCGTCTGTAAATATTATTGTTATGATGCTGGATAAGAGTTACCATGAGTTCTTTCTATGGAAAGAAAAGATTTTGCACACAAGACCACAAAGTCTTTAAAACCACCTTTTAAAAACTCAATCAAGTCTTCTCTCTGACAAGAAGTTGTGGAACCGTTATTATTCTCTATGTGGTGATAGATCCATACACGAAGGTACTATTTCTCTCACTCAAGGCTATCCTTATGCAACATAAACTGCTTAGACTGAATAAATAGCTGAATAAAACCCCCTATCCTTCCAAAAATAAAAATTGAACTTCAACTATATTGAAATTGTATAGATTCAAACCACCAAAAAGCACCAGGTGACTAAATTGAAGCATTTTTCGTGGAAGCCAGTTCAATTCCCTGTAGAAAGCCCCATCTGAAAGCCCATCATTTCGGCTTAGCACAGTGAATCAATGGATCCTGATCCATAGCTTCCAATAAAAGGAAGCTAGCTGTACGATAAGAAGGGCCATGAATTGTGTACTTTCTATAAAAGCAAACATTGAACGTTGAGCTTTTTAGATAAGCAAAAACCATGGTTGGATCACCTATTTTTTTATCCCCGAACAATAGAACCCTTGCTCCAAAGGAGAAGACAAGATGGTTCTTCTTTGGTAAAGAAGTACAAAAGAGTTACCCTAAGGGGCTGTTTGGATACCTGGAAATATATTGTCGATGAAATATATTACGGGCGTAATACATTTCTGGGTAATACATTATCTGCAAATGGATTGTCACTGTTTGGGTAGTATTTAGATGCGACTTGGGAAATACATTGCTATTGTTTGGCTATGTATGGAAGAAATATGAGAAATGCATTACCATCCAAATATGAAAAATATGGCTATGTTTGGCTAACATGAATAGGCTTTTGTTTCAACATGATAAGTCATTAGAATAATATGATTGGAATAACTTTTATTGTGATAAGCCTTATTTTTATTTATTTTTTATATAAATCTTTCAAATGTCTCTCTATATATAATTTCAAATGAGCAATAAATATATGATACCAAAATCAAAATCTTTATGGTACAAGTTAAAAAATGGGAAGAAGTTTGATTAGTAAACTAGAAGGTTTGGTAATTGCAGTAGATTATTTTGAAACATTGGAGGAACTAAAAAGGTATATTATTTCAATTGAGCTTTTACTAATCTCTTATGAGGATTATGTTATGTGAAATTTTTTCTTATGATTGTGTTATGTAATTTCTCATCGCTTACCAATTATTATTTGTATTTTTATATGAGAGCTGATGGCGGAATACAACCCAAATTGGAGATAGAGGGATATAGAAATTTGTTTATTATCATTGCAGTAGAAAATTGTTCATCAAGTTCTACAACTGTTCAAATCAAATTAGATTTGCCCTTACTTTCACTTACCAATTATTAAAATATTTTGTTTCAAATCAATTTAGATTTGCCCTTACTTTCACTTACCTATTATTAAAATTTTTTGTTTTTATATGAGAGTGATGAGGGCTACAACTAAATTGGGGAGCGGAGCGAGGGATGTAGAAATTTTTTTTATGATTGCAGTAGAAAATTGTTTCAAATCAATTTAGATTTCCCTTTTCATATCCCCTACTTTCACTTTCTACTTACCTTAATAATTATATAATATAGAGGGAAATATTTTTTAAGGGGGGATAGGGTAGAGAGATGCACGTGAACAATTTCCAAATATTACTTGTCAACCCCGTAATAAATTTTTCACCCCTCTCCGCGTGTATTAGAATTCGTGATTTTTGGGGAAATATCAGGTAATCTCGGGTAATCTCTTTCCATTTCTTTATTATTAAAATGTACTAAAATTTACCAAATAGTGTAAATGTCATATTTCCTTGTAATCTATTGTCACGTAATAGATTTCCACGTACCCAAACGGCCCCTAAGTATTTATATCCATGAAACTCTAGAAATTATAGATGAAGAGAATAAATTAATGAAATAGGGAAAAATTAGGGTTTACTGTTACTGTATGGTCTAAGGGTTGGAATTGCTTAGCAGAGCTTTTGATGAGTTGTGAACCTTATGACCAGAGCAGTAGTAAAGAGCAAAATGGCAGGATGTGTTTATATAATTCTTAGAAAGCTGGATCTAGATCTCTGGGAGGGAGCGAGGGTATACCCACATCTTGACTTTAAGGCAAAAAAAGCACCAAAATGAGCATCATAATGGAGGGTCAGAATGGGTTCTCCAACCCCATATGTGGAGTGCGAATTTCCACACAAAAACTAAGAGATAATTTTCTCATTTACTACACTAAAAACATTTTCCCAGTTTGCAAGATATGGGAAAAGCTAAATTTCGGGGAAAACATTTGTCCTGTTTGCAAAAGTGCCCTGTGTTCCACACAAAAACTAAGAGATAATTTTCTCATGTACTACACTAAAAACATTTTCCCAGTTTGCAAGACATGGGAAAAGCTAAATTTCGGGGAAAACATTTGTCCTGTTTGCAAAAGTGCCCTGTGTTGGAAGCCTGTTTGAGATGTTGAAGGTTCTTTGGTGATAGCTTTTGTTCTTTGTTACCACAAAGTTGCAGAAGAGAGAACCCTCTTTCTCGGGTTGAGGTTGTTGTCTTAGCAATTATCTTGACCCTTAATTGTTAGGGTGACCCATTTAACATGAGTTATATGAAGAGCATCCTTTTTGTAGAGGTTCTCAGCTGTATGAGAGATTTTGAAGCTTTGTGATCTGCGTCCCTTAGGGGTTCTGATGAGATCAACGATTATGTCGCTAGAAATAGGAGCAGTTATATAGGAGCTGAGTTTGGGCAACATCATTGGACTCCCATGACATTGATGTATTGCATTAGCAATAGTTTAAGTTCACTATAGCCACCTGTTGGAGAAGTAGGAAGGAAATAAGTTTTTCCATGAATGGTTGAAGGAATGGCACTTCTAATACTAACATACTGGCTATAGGTCTGGGTCTTACTTCACACAAATTTTAACTTAATGCAAAATTTAACAAGCTAATATAAAAAGTTGAAAATCATGTTATATTCATCGAAAGCTTCACAAACTATAAAAACCACTTATGAGTTGTGTAGAAACAGTTGCTTTGTTAGTTGTAGAAGAAGTACTCCATTCACCTGTGGTGAGTGCTATATGGTACCCCGTAGGACATCCACCTTCTGTCCTTTGTAACAATAGTGGATATCGCTGTAGTTAGGGTGCTAATCAGGTTGGATTTGGACTTGGAAACTGGACCTGGAGGGTCACATTTGTGCCCATCCTGAACCTATCTGGGTTGCGGGTCTTGCTTGATGTGACCCAGACCAACCTATATGGCTGTGTGTGCACACTTGGGTGTGTGTAGGCATGCATGTCCGCCAGCATCTGGGTTGGGTCCTGGTTGACCTTGACATGGCCTAGTTACAGCCCTAATCATACTTTTCAGTGTTAATCATTTTCTTAGATATGGCTAATTTCTACCATCCATCATTGGAATGTACGGCAAACATTCCTTTGGATCTATATGCATGCACTTCTGGGGCGTGGTATAGTTTCACTAGAGAAATGGTTGCTACATATTGAGTCATTCTTTTTTATGTAGAATCAATTATATTTTGCAAGATGCCTGAGAAGAAGATCTTAGTGCTCATTGAATGTTCGAAAATCATGTGCAACATAGTCTGAAGCACTTTAATGCAGTTGGCCTTTACCGTTTCTATTGATTCTGGGCATGCATGTGTTATGGATTATGGTGCTTTGAAATATATTGTTATCTTAGATGTTTGTCATTAACCATGCTAAACTCTGCATTCTTTAAATTCTACAGACCCATTCTGTTGCGAGTGACCTTATGAAGTACCACACTCAAACTCATGGATTGGTTATTGGTGGTTCAGCTCGTAGAGGAGAAGCAGAGCGCCTTGTGAAGGGAGTAAATCTATTGGTTGCAACTCCTGGAAGGCTTCTAGATCATCTTCAATCTACTAAAGGATTCATATACAAAAATTTAAAAGTAAGTTAACTTTTAAAGTTTTTTGGATTTATTGTGCGTGCTTCTAAATTGTCACCCTTTATCTTAAGGTGAAGTCTGTGGACTAAACTCAAACTTGGATTCAAAATTTCAGACTCACCCGTTGATTGTGTGGAGTTTTCTGGTCAATTCATTGTTAAACTTGTTTGAAACCGAAGGAATCAAAATATTGGTCAAAATCTCTGTCAAAACTCTAAGACTGCCAAATCTTAGTTTCCTTGACGAGTCTCCCTGAGTATTGACAACAAGACTGGGGGAAACCATGTCTAGTAGTTTTAAAACTTGTCAGAGTGGTGATGGGGTCAACTTAGCACGTTCTCGAACCATGATAGAGCTATATCCAATTTCAGATATTTCTTTTTCTTTTCGTTTTTGGCTGATACATACTATTGTTTATGTGTTTACTTTTTTGTTTAGAATATTTGAGTCTTCAAAGTGTGTATGTTTTGCCCCTTCTTCTTGAACAAAGCTATAAATGTTCTTACATACTACAGGAAAACAAGTATGATTGGTGATGTTGTGGTATACAATGTTTAACCATCAGGTGGTGGGCGAATCGCACAACTAACATTTTTTGTTTCTCTTGATTAGGTGGTTAGGGTGGTCATCCACAATGTAACGTCAAGGTTCCAATCACACGACTTACCCACCTACCTCCCCTAACAAAAAAAGGGGGAGAAACCCTAGAGTATTATCATATTGAGAGTCTTTAGAAGTAGTTGTTTCTGTTGATTTTGTATCACATAGTAGGTTATTGATCTTGCTAGCCTCTATGCTGTATTAGGTATACGATACACATGACTAGCCCACGTAAGTCGAAGGGCCTATTTGGTACGCATGAAAATACTTCCCGGGAAGCATTTTCGTGTGAATAAACTTCCTCATGTGATTAGGTGTGGGAGTTTTTTCACACTAATTAGTCCCAGTACATTTTGTAACACTCACACCAATTGGCTGCCAGTTGGTGTGAAATACTTCTTAGAAAGCATTTTCACGTGAATAAACTCACTCATGTGATTAGGTGTGGGAGTTTTTTCAAACTAATTGGTCCAAGTACATTTTGTCACACTCACACCAATTGGCCGCCAGTTGGTGTGAAAATACTCCAAGAAGTGTTTTCATGTGTACCAAATTTGTCCTAAGATGAGAGAAAATAGACTTAGGTGCGCTGGCCATGTGTAGCCTAGACCTAATACAACACCAGTTAGGAGTTGTGATTTGGTTCAAGTGGAAGGCTCTAAAAGGACAAGGAGAAGGCCAAAAAAGGCATGGTAGAGGTAGTGAGATAAGATATGGTAACTTTTGGTCTTACTGAGGGTATGACTCTTGAAGTCTTGATAGAGAAGAATGGAGGAACATGAGTTATGTAGCCGACCCCAAATAATTAGGATAAAGCTTGGATGATGATGATGATGATCCTTCTAGCCTTTAGGAGTTAGCTTTAAATCTTTGAATATAATTCCATTTTTATGTTGCCAGCCTGCCATTGCAATCTTATGCACACTAGTTGTGTCCCATTACATTTTCTTAGGAGTATTTCCCTTGTATTAAAATTCTATGCTGTTCTGAAATGAATGTAGTTTTGAATGTAGTTTTTAATGCTTGCTTTTGTTCTACCAACTGGGAAACAGATATTGGCTACTGGATGATTGTATTATTTCTTCAGCGGAAAGTATCTTACTCAGATTCTACACCAATGAAAAATGTTGTAGCCCATTCATCATTCATTTATTTGTTTATTTTGATACTTTGTATTGTGCTATGGTTTAGTATAATTTTTTTCTTTAGTGTTCTATTATGAAGTTTTATAAGTCTCATTTCTGGTTTATACCATGGCCACTGACAAAACTCACTTTCGCTAGAAACTCCACCACCATACCAGCATTTTTTTTTTTGATAACTGTTTAACTTTTGTATTGCTGTGAAGAAGTGGGGGTACAAGGTTATTCCAGGAGAGACTCCTGGTAAAAAAGAATGGGTTAAGGGAGCGTATACAAGATGGGGTTATAAACTTTTCCCTTACATCTTGTGACCCGTATACAAAATGGGGTTATATGATTTTCCCTTACATCATGTACAGTAGTGCCTAAAAAAAGAGAAAAAGAAAACCCAAAACCCTGCCGAGGGGAGATAACATGTCGTGTGCACCACCATACCACCATTGACAAACCAACCTCCTCTAGGAGTATAATCATGCTCATATGCAAGTCATCTTCTTGACCCCTCCATGCTGCCTCCTGTCGTTTGGCCTTGCTTAGTTTTTATAATTTTACTTGTTCCGGTTGAGCTCACAGTGTATACCTTTATGTTCCTTCCGTATATTTCTTATTCTCTGTTTATATTGATAGCTTGTACTGGGCTAATTACCCACAAAGCCTATTGCTTGTTTGTATATTAAGTGTCTCAAATTTTAGATATTTAAAAGGCCTTTGTTCATTTTAACCTCTGTTTTTGTTGAAACTGTTGCCATTTTTAGCTAAATGTTGAGTTAGCATATGTTGGCTTTTTATCATATATAATGAGAAGATTTTGGTTATAGTAATATCTGCTCGTTACTGCAGTTTCTTATAATTGATGAAGCTGACCGTTTATTGGAGGCGAACTTTGAGGAGGAGATGAAGCAAATCATTAAAATTCTTCCAAAGGTCTAAATTGGATTTTGTTTCTAGCATCATTTATAAATCTTTAAATATATATTCTTGCAATCGATATTGTGAATGTAAGTTATGAGATGCATCGTATCTAATCATGTTCCTCATCCTGGCCCTACCTTTGCAGAATAGACAAACGGCTCTTCTTTCGGCTACCCAGACTAAAAAGGTGTCTTAACCTACATGAAATTAACTTGGATCCCATGGTTCTATGCTTTTTGTCACAATCTTAAAAGCCCTATATGGAATATTCTTGTTATGCTTGATGTATCACAGGTGGAAGACCTCATAACCTTGTCACTGAAGACCAATCGAAAGTATATTGATGTAGAAACTGGGAGGTCAAAGGTAGAAGTTTTTACATTAATTCGATTCCTTCCGAGACTCAGCAAAGGGAAAGCATGCTATCGCTATGGTCCAGTAGACTACAGAAAACCATTGTCTATCAAGGTCATTGACAGCCAAGTGAAATAATGGGCAACAATGGAGAGCAAGTGGACACAACTTTGTGATTATCTCCTATTCTAGTGGTTCACTCTCCATCACCATCCATCCTTACGTGGAACAGTCATGACCCAAAGAGGCCCATGGTTTTACATAGTCTCCTGGACTATATAACTTACTGTTCTCTTTTAGAAAATGATGGTGACCATAACCACATCGAAAATGCAGGTCACTGTAGATGGGCTTGAGCAAGGCTATTGCGTGGTTCCAAGTGCAAAGAGGTTCACTGTTCTCTACTCCTTCCTGAAGAGGAATCCATCAAAGAAAGTGATGGTTTTCTTCTCATCCTGCAACTCAGTGAAATATCACTCCGAGCTCCTCAATTACATTGGGGTCTCATGTCTTGACATCCATGGAAAACAGAAGCAACAGAAAAGGACCTCCACCTTCTTTGAATTTTGCAAGATGGAGAAGGGTTTTCTGTTATGTACCGATGTTGCAGCTCGAGGACTCGATATTCCTGCCGTGGTTTGTTCCTTGATACCATGTTAAGCATTTCCGGGGTTCTTCTCTCTTCCTTTTTGGGGAAGTGGACCATAATCCAATAGAAAGAACCATAGTCCATTGGGTCATGACCCCAATGGTGGGCTCCACTCTCTTACATCATATTTCGTCATTTCATTGACTGGTTGTTGCCCAATGGACATGGTTCTCCATTGCCATGTTGGACTATGGTATGGTAATATACTTTTCCTTTTCACAATACTTTTCTGTGTTTTGTGAGAGGAAATATCCAGTTAGCTTTTGTGATGCAGGATTGGATTGTCCAGTACGACCCCCCTGATGACCCAAAGGTACAGAGTCTTGAATCTTCTTCATCAAATACTTTTTGTTTCTTGTACTTATTTTGTCGAAAATTTATCAAATTTACCCACTAGAGATGAACAAATAAACACTTCAACCTATATCTTTTGATTCGATTTCAAAATAACCATAAACAAAGTATACCCTTTAGTTAGAATAGTTCCAAAAGGGTAAAACGTTAAATAGTTAAACTCTTATAGGTATTTTGATAAATTTCCCTTTTGCTGGTGCGGTGCAGGAGTATATTCATCGTGTTGGTCGAACTGCTCGTGGGGAAGGTGGAAGGGGCCGTGCACTGATGTTTCTGATACCAGAGGAGTTGCTGTTTCTCCAATACTTGAAGGTCTCACTTATCCACTTTGCTAAATTGAGTGGATGCTTTCATTTAAAATAGGAGTGACATAATTAATGGGTTTCCATTTCTTTCTCCTGTAACTAAATTTCTGGTGCTTTGCCACTTCCAGGCTGCCAGAGTTCAAGTAAAGCCATATGAATTTAACGAGAAAAAGGTGGCTAACGTGCAGTCTCACCTGGTACTCTTATAAATGCTTTAACTGACGTGTTTTAATCTTTTAGTTTTGTTTGTTTGGTGTAATCCTGACTTTGCTAGGGAAACCCAATATACAATTGTATTTTTTTTCTAGATAATATGATATACGTGTTCATATTGCAGGAAAAAATGGTGGGGAACAATTATTACCTGCTGAAGTCTGCAAAAGAGGCCTATAGGTCATATATATTGGCCTATAACTCGCATTCCATGAAGGATATATTTAATGTTCATCGTCTCGATCTCCAGGTGCTCGTGATAATAACATTTCTTGTTTGCAAACCTTTATAGAAAGGAAAATTGTTCATGTGGGCTGGACTGCATTTCTACAATATGTGGTCCCAAGATATAAAGCATCCATCTTAAAGATGGATGCAAATAGGTGCTCCATCTAAAAACAATTGAAACTAATGGTCGAGATGTTTTTTTCATAAAATCATTTTTTTATTTCTTAAAATTTATTTATTTATTTATTTAATATTCATGATCTATGTGTTAGAGATTACATGTCCTTAAAATTTGGGTCCAAAAATCCATCTTAAAAATAGATTTTTAAGAGTCGATTCATTTCTACAATGGACTCATAGAAACTGTCCTTATAGAAAATATACATTATTGTTGTCAATTGCTTCCTTCTGTGTTTTACTTTTTGGTAGAGAGATGAAGTCTTTGTGGAACCTCTATTGCAGGCAGTGGCTGCTTCCTTCTGTTTTAGCTCCCCACCGAAGATGAACCTGACCATAGATAGCAGTGCTTCCAAATTCAGGAAGAAGTCTGGGAAATCTAAAGGCAATCGACACGGGATCAGTGAAGAGAACCCTTATGGGAAAATTAATAATAAGAAGGATTCCAGACAGTATGTGAGGTATTAGAAAGCAAGGGGTTAGTCGCGAGAAGATGATAGATTCTCTTTCGCCGGCTTTGCGTAAGCATTCAATTTTGTTATTTGGTTTTGCTAGTTATGATCCATGTCCTGTATTTTTTTTTCTTTTTGGTGTGGTTCATTAGTAGGAATCGAACTTGAGGTGTACCATTGCTTGAAGTCAACTGCTAACCATCCGAGCCCAAGCACGATTCCTGTTGGGTCACTCAAGCCCAAGCATGATTCCTATTATGTTGTGTATTTAGTCATTGCATTTGATATGTACATGGGGATTGTGGGTCCCATTGCAAATTTTGGCTCATAATCCGTGGTAATTTATTAGTGCTTATGAGTTGTATCAACCTTTTACCATGATATTGAGATGTATAAAGGAACCATACTTAATCTCCACCATCCATTGTCAAAAGTGGATAGATACCCCTTTCTAAGATTGGTGTTTGTTATACACAATGTCCGATGTAAATCCCGATCGAGGTTGGCAGGTAAGTGGACCAATTTCCTTTTGTCCCGATCGAGGTTGGCAAGAAACGGATCGGTGACTCGAATCAGTTATACCTATACTTGTGTTAGATCGGAGAATCAGTGGTTCGGATCGTAGAATCGGCGAAATCGGTAATTTGTCTCAGTTTTTTCTGTAAAAGATCTCTATAAATATTTAAAAATAGCTTTTTTTAGTTTTTAAAGATATTAAGAGTGATGCACTATGTAGTTCACTATTTATAAAAATATATGAATATTGAGATGTTTCTTTATTTGGATGTCTGTATAATTATCGATAAATCATTGAAATTTCTTAAAAAAAACGTTTCTTATGTTTTCCAAAGAAATTGAGGCATTACATTGTAGATTTTGATTATTTCATTGAAAATATATAAATTCATTGGGAATGTATTTCATGCCTCAGTGCTTGTTGACCATTATAGCTATTTTCAAATGAAGTGGATTTCTCTTACTCATTTTCTTTTTATTTTGTATTTTTATAATCTCCATTACTGCTTGTGCCGGTAAATATAGGGTTTTTGCCTAGTTATTTATTATTTTTTTAAAAAAAAAAAATTTAATTTAGTATTTTTCAATGTTTTAAAAAACGGTCCGCCTGGCACTTGCCTAAACCCAGGCTGCCCTACACGAGCAGATGTATCTGGGCGGGCGCCCAGGCAGGTTAGGCGTTTTTCGTTTTTTTTAAATTACGGGCGCTCGAGGTTCTGGGCACCAACTTAGGCGCCCGCCTAGGTGTTTGGGCACCAGGCAGGTCGCTTAGGGGCCGTCTACCGTTTTTTTAAACCTTGGTATTTTTAGAAAAATAGCTAGAAATAACAAAAAAAGGAAAAATCTAAATAGTAAATTAATAATATACATAATACAACGAGTTATTTTAGATAAGATAGTCTATTCAAGATAAAACTAAAGGGAAAATTTCGCATAGACCTTTAATTCCCTTTCGTATTTTAATTCCCTTTCGTATTTCATGGTAGACTTTCTTTCTATTTTGCTTTCAAGCGATAGAAAAAACCCTCAAATATTTCAACATACCCTCTCATTTCTTTTCTCTCACGTTTATTCACTTTTGAATGTAAAAATTAATTCAATAAATTGTTTATTCCATTTCAATAGAAAAGTTTTTTTTTTTAACGTTTATTCACTTTTGACCACAAAAACTAGTCCAACAAATTGGTTTATTCCATTTCAATTTAAATTTTTTTTTAAAAAGGACAAAATAAAGTTAAAAAGGTTTTTGGATTGAAATGGAATAAAACAATTTGTTAGGTTAGTTTTTGTATTAAAAAATAAATAAACGTGGAAGAGAAGAGAGGAGGGGGGACAGTGAAAATATTCGAAGGTTTTTTTATACAGCTTGAAAGAAAAATAGGAGGGTTTAATGTGAAATAAGATGGGAAATTAGGGATTTGTACGATATTTTTCTTAAAATCAATACCGGTCTAAGTTTTGTGTTCGATAAAAAAAAAAAAAAGACTTTAAATGAAAACTCCACTAGTTTTGTGTTTAAAAAAACGACTTTAAATGGGAACTCCACCTTAAAGTACAACTTTGTACTCTCCCGTGTAAAAAAAATGAGTTCCAACCCAAAGGTTGGAACTTAAAATGGGTAGTTGGTTTAAGACTTATCCCTGAACTTCTTCGTGCTGCCCCTGATAACCCTACTCCTCTCCGTCCCTTTCTTCCCATCGCCGTTGGGCACCCCTCTCTTCCCACTTTCGCCACTGAGCAGCCCCTGTTTGCAGCACCACCCCTCTCCTCGAGTTCAGCCCTGAACCAGCCCTCTATTCGCAGCACGACCCTTCTCTTCGAGTTCAGCCCTGAGCCAGCCCTCTGTTCGCAGCTTCTCTCCTCTTTCAAAGCTTCCTATTTTCCCAAAAACCCATTGTTATCAAATACGAGTTTCAGAGGCCAAACCTTAATAATTCTCTTCAATCAAAAACCCAAACCTTTACGTGATTTCAGAAAACTTTCTGGGTCACCAGTTTTTTACGCGGAGCTTCGTCCTCTTGATTTAACTGAAGATAATGTTAAGCGAGTCTTAATGGATGCCAAATCAGAGGCAAGTAACCATTAATCATTTGATCCATTTTTTTATTGATCACTTGAGAAGTTACACTATGCTGAAAAAATCAAGTTGTAAATGAACTCAAAGGTATTGGTTTTTTCTGATTTATTTATTCTTTTTGAACTTAGTTTCATTGATGACCATGAAATCCATCGCATTTAATGATAAAAAATGTAGGCATATTTGTAAAGAGTCACTATGAGGCAATGTAGCTATGTTGAATGAAATTTAGATTAATTTTGATGAACTCTGATGTATAAATAATCTGCTTTTTTCTTCTGTGGAACATTATTTATGTATTAAAATGTTGCAATGGAGTCAGTGATTTGATGAATTAGTGATGAATTTTGTAATAGTACAAGTGAGCTCTGCATCACTAATAATCATAGGAGGATTATTATGAACTCTATTACAGTGCATCAGCTGAGTTCATCCGTAAATGATGCAGAGCTGACTTCTTCTACTGCTGCTGCTACCAATGTCTGAAAACACGGTGAATCCAACTATGTCCCACCTGAGTTAACTCGGACTGGGAACGCTGCTGAGTCCGCATTCAAAACCATTGGATCTGCGAGTCTTGATGGTCCTTATTAAACTTTTAACTAAGTTGAGTTGCTTGACTCGAGCTCTGGGCCCTAGTGAGTCCCAACCCGAGTCCTTGCCTTAAAACATCGACCACTGTGGCTGCTACTACTATGGATTTAGTTAAATAGTTAAGGAACCTTAATTAAATGAGTCACTTAACCAAATCTCAGCATTAGAAAGATGAAGAAATATAAGAAAAATTTTCAGGAATTCTCCAATGGTACGTTTCAAATCATATATTTTACTCTGATATTTAAAAAATGAAAGAAAAAAGAGAAGAATGGTCAGACGTGTTATATGAGGTGTATCAATGCCTTGATAAAGTTGTAGAGTTTATCTAGTGAAGTGATGTGAGGTTAGAATGCATAGATGTTGGTCAAACTGGCCGCAAATTTCTGCAGTAAAAACCATTATTTTCTCTTTGTTTCTCTTTTTTTTGCTCTGCTAGATGTATGGTGCGAGAATAACTAGTGAGATGTTCTAAATTAGAGATTATAATGAGCGAGAACGAACAACTTTCACTTGAATGAGAATGTGTACATATACAAAAAATATTGATGATATAAGGAATACTGCCCCTTAGTGGTAAAGAAATGTAAAAATGAAAGAAGAATACTATGCCTGTTATGATGATCATGATCCAAATTCTTTACTCTCTCTGAGAATTGTTTTTTGAGAACTATACTGCATTGTGAGGCATTTGGACTGAGCATTCCCTTGGTCTCTGAAAAATGAAAATGATTTTTCCCGTACTCTCATAATATACCTCCTTTTGAGCTGCACATCATTTGATGGTAGTCTCTCTTAATCATTTAATTTTGTCATGGAAGACTGGACTAAATACTACTGCACTTCTATTGTCATTCTTGAACAATTCCTATCTCTTTCGAAAGAGCATGAATCCAAATCAATTCACACAGGTGGCGACTCATATTTAGCTCTTGCACTTGAGGTTGACATTGTGCTTTCTAGTTCCAAAAGAGAACAGTGGAATCCTCTTAACTGAGAACTATATTGTACCTTAGAATTTGGAAACTAATATTCAAGCAAACCATATACAATATCACAAAAGTGGGGAAAAGAAAAGCATGGAAAAGAAAAGCATGCATGAACTTTAATATCATGTGAGATATCTAGATCAATTATCATCAATGCTCTCACCTTAGTCCTTGGCAATTTGGCTTCCTGCTTGAGGAATTAAGTTGGTTTGGTTTGCTAACATTCCATTTTTGATCAAATATTAGTGGGGCATCATTTTATTGATATGAATGGATTATCCTTATCGGATCTTGAAAACACAACAGATAATAACTATCAAAGGTTAATATAGTTTCGTGTAAGAGAAAAAGTAACTATGTTACTTGAACTATTTATATGAAGGCTTGTTCATCCTTAATTACCATTATCTTCTGCATATACAAGTAAAAAATGTTATTTCATGCCTTATCAAACATCTTTACAATCCACCGCAAGTTTAAAGATGCTTGATTAAACTAGATGTTGGTGAATTATTCCATCTAAAATAATGGAAGTTAAAATAGGAACTTGGTTTGTCAAACCCTATTCTGCTTCCCTCCTTATATTTATATTTATATTGATAATTTATATTTATATTTGTATTATATTATATAATATAATATAAATAAATATAAATAAAATAATTTATTATATATTATATCATATTACGTTATATATATTATATTTTATTTATATAATATGTATTTGCAATATTAAAAATAATAAAAATATATATTAACAGAATAAATTAATATATATATTATATGATACAAATAAATATTAATAAAAGAAATTATTATATTATATATTGTATTACGTTTTATATAATATATTTTATTATATGATATATTTTATTTATATAATAGATATTTATAATACTATATATAATAAAAATATATATTAATAGAATAAATATAAAATACACTATATAATATAATATATTATATATTACATATTTATATTTAAATTATTAATAGATTTGTATTATATAGTATATATATTTATGTATATAATATATTTTATTATACATTATATATTATATATTATTATATATAATATGTACTATGTTATAAATATCATAAATTTATATTGTAATTATTATCATATATTTGTTTTATACTATTATATATAATATATGTATTTATTTAATATAATATAATATATTACATGATATAAAATATAATATTTTATATTATATTTTATGTATGTAATAGATATTTACGATACAATATATGTTATATATTGTTTTATGTCTAATAT